GCTCTGCATCAACCTTGTTGCCCTTCCGATGATGTGTGAGTAGTTTACCACAGACCCATGGGTCCATAGCTAGTAGCTAGATGGCTTCTTCTCTCTCTTTGATCTTCAATACAATGTTCTCCTCGATGTTCTTGGAGATCTATTCGATGTAATCCTTTTTTGCGATGTGTTTGTTGGGATACGATGAATTGTGAGTTTATGATCAGATTATCTATGAATATTTTTTGAGTCTTCTCTGAACTCTTTTGTAAATGATTATTATAGCTTTGTATTTCTCTCTGATCTATTGATTTGGTTTGGCCAACTAGATTGATTTTTCTTGCAATGCGAGAGGTGCTTTGTGATGAGTTTAATCTTGCGGTGATCTATATCCCAGTGACAGAAGGGGACAAGACACGTATTTGTATTGTTGCCATTAAGGATAAAATGATGGGGTTTATTTATATTGATTGAGTTTACTTTGTCTACATCATGTCATCTTACTTAAGGCATTACTCCGTTCTTTATGAACTTAATACTCTAGATGCATGCTGGATAGTGTTCGATGTGTGGAGTAATAGCAGTAGATGCATGCAGGAGTTGGTCTACTTGTCTCAGACGTGATGTCTATATACATGATCATTTCCTTGGATATCGTCATGATTATTCACTTTTCTATCAATTGCCCAACAGTAATTTGTTTACCCACCATATGATATCTTCAAGAGAGAAGCCTCTAGTGAAAACTATGGCCCCAGGTCTATTTTTATCATATATTAAAATCCAAAAACACCTTGCTGCAATTTTATTTACTTTATTTTATTTTGTGTTTTTGTTCTACCTATCTATCACTACGAGATATGATCCTTGCAATTAACCGACGAGGTATTGACAACCCCTTGTTCGCGTTGGGTGTAGGTATTTGTTATTTTGCGTGTAGGTACTGCTAACAGGGTGTCGCATGGTTCTCCTACTGTATTGATAATCTTGACTCTTAACTGAGGAAAATACTTATTTCTATTGTACTGCATCATCCTCTCCTCTTCGAGGAAATCCCAATGCAGCTCACAAGTAGTACATATCACCCCACCTTTGTTATTAAGCCCTAAGGCCCACTAACTTCCACCACTTGGCATTTTTATTTTTATTTTATTTTGTCCATTGGTATTAAGTTAATTCTAAAAGCCTCCTAATCAATATTAGAACCTTTTATTGTTAATGTAACATATTTAGAAACATTTTCCACCTATATATCAACTCTTGGTATTACCCGGTAAGCCCGGAAACTCTTCTGCTAACTCTGCAACGCTTCTAGTTTCTCTCAAAACTATTTCTAATATTTGCGACACTGTTTCTTGAATATTTTCTCATAAATCTTACTCTACTAACACTCAACAGATCATGATTCCCTTAAGTGTGTGACCTTGTAGGTTCAGTGAAACATAGACATGAAGAAAATACCTTTCGTTCAATGACCAATAGCGGAATCGTGGACATCCATATTGATCCCTGTGAATACACAAATTATATCGGAGTGAACATTTGGTTATCACGTGTTATTCCCTTTGCTTCATGATACTTTATAAAACCTGAGGTGAGATATATCGATATCCTCTTGAGTCATTATCATGCTCACTATACCGGTCTCCTTGTTATCAGTTTTGTTCTTCTTTCTTGTTGACATGCTCCGACATCCCTGTGACCTACTCACCTGCGTCTGGCCAGATGATGATGGATGCCGTCACACCGAGAGGTCCCTAAGAATATCTCTCCATCGCGGGAGGAGCAAATCCCACTCTTGAGCTATCTAGCCCCTTGTCACATTTTTTCATTGAACCAGAAAGTTTTCGTTATGATAAATGTGTTAAAAATAACATTTGAGCAACTCCAAAGTCCGTCTGATGTGAAGTGACTACTTTACTCTCATGATCTAAGGAACTAAAGTATATGTTAACTCTCTGTGTTATATCGATTGATTTGTGATGATTGTATCTCAAAGTATAACAAACAAGTTGCGTCAATTCAATATGATCATTCTTCTAACGTGATACCCTCAATATTGTTTAGGGACTATCGTTACACTTAAAAATATCCCAAGATATGGAAAACATGATCAACATACAATACTTGAGCTAGTCTTAGAGGCAAGAGCAGGAATCGGGTTTTAACGTTTATCATTCCACATGTGCTTACGAGTTTTCCACTGAATCGCATATTCTGGAATCATAGCAGATATAACATAGAATATAAGCTCTTCATTATAAAAATAGAAATAAATAATACAATATTGTTGCCTCTATGGCATATTTCCAACACCCTCAACTTCTTTGGGCGAGCAAATGGTCTCACATCTGACCATATGACACTTCTATTTTCCTTGCTCATTGGCCCAAAAGAATCTAGATCACACCCTATTCAATTTATCATGTATCATGTCGTAGAGAAGATAAAATCCCATTACAATCATGGGTATGTTGGTGAGGCAATCGTTTATAAGAACTAATCGTCCACCAAGAGCCAACAACTTCCCTTGCCAAGGTTCTACTCTCCCTGAAACCTTGTCAACCACAGGCTCAAAGTCTACCATCGTAAGGGCCCTAGCCGAAGTGGGCATCCTGATGTATTTGATTGGGATGGACCCAAGCTCACAATTCATCATATGTGCCACCCTAGCCACTTTCCCTCTTTCTTTCCTCTCTCTTCTCTCTCGTGAGGCCAACAAATGGGGTAGCCCACTAGATACCAGGTGATCACACAATCATAAGGTCGTGGGTTCAAACATCACCCCCTCTCAGCATAATATATATTTTTTCTCTTTATACTCTTTACTGACAGGTGGGTCCCGCATGATTTTCTGCATAACTTAAATATACGGGGAGTTATCTAAAAAGAATCTACTCCTAGCCACTGACATGTGGGTCATTGCCATGCTGCCAAGGCAAGGTGTACACACAGATACAATCGAAAGCATCGTATTTGAAACAACAAGTTAGATGACCACACATCTGCATTTTTAAATTTCTAGCACCAAACTGAACATTACATCTTAAGTTCTATAACTCCCGATAATATTACCTCTTTGATAAACTACATGTGCAACAATGCATCGGATCTAGAGTACGTGTGTGATCACGAACACCCTTGATCCTACTAGGTCACCGGGTGATCTGTTGTTGAAGCTTTTTCTATGCCTGTGCTGCCCACCCGAAAGTAGCCGCTGATATTTGTTTCAGGCTCACGTCATCTTTGCCTTCGGAGATTTCTAAGAGCCGCAGAAGGAACCACTTAAAAATGATAAAGACACACATCGTCAAACCCAACCGGAGCCAGTTTTCAGCAACACCTATCCTTGTCACTTCCGAGTAGATGGGCAGTTGTGTTTCCGAAAACTGTCACTCCCCACTAGCTGGATGACCATTGCAGAACGCTGTAGTACTACGTTATCTTATCATAGATTTTATCAGGCCATGTCATGCGGGCCGTCCTTACCAGCAATAGAGGAGTAGCCTTCTAGATGATCATCAGAGAAATCATAGTGGTGCTACTGCTACTAGGAAAGCGGTGGGAGGTGCGTCCATGCGTGGTTATCTCTTCTTGTTCCGTCAGCAGTTTTTGGCCTTCCAGAAGGCCAACGTTGGTACTCTTGTGCGTGCAGTTTTCGTGCTTTAAATTAGTTGTTAGAGCATGAATTGATTGTATCTCATCTTAATAGATACAGTACTACTGATGTTGAGTGCTACTCGTAGTTGGCCAGGAATGGTTGGGCTCTCCCGAAACTGTTGCCATCTACGAAGCCCTCCAGTGTAAGCTTTCTAGTAGGATGCTTCGCAGCAGAGGAAACACACGCACACCGGTAAGCATCAATCACATTGATTAACGAATAGGACTACCGTTTGGAATAGAATACGGCCACGAGCGCTGCTATACACACGACGGTGTGCAGCTGATGTCTGGACGATGCTACTGATCTGACCGTACATGCATGTCACAAAGAGGAGGCCGACCGCTGGATCAAAGCATCGTCCAATGTTCGGCCAGTGGGTGTCGGCTGCTCAGTAGTTCCGTACGGCCACTATCCCAGCACTCGCTTTAGAATCATCCGGCTAGCAGGCTTTACATTACAAAATGGCACATAAATTCGCTGGATCATCCTGCAAGCAGGATTTGCGTCACAAGCTGGCCGATGGATTCGAGGCCGTCGAACAGAGGACGGTTTGTGGAATTAAACGAACGATAATCATGTATAACCTGCCATGGTCGCTGCCTGTTGGTCACGGGAAGATTCATCAGTTCATCGAGACATGTAGTTCACCCAATCGAACGCAACAAGTTTGTGCCTTTGTGGAGGTTGGTAGAGTAGTGGAGTACAGCGAAGGATGCCCAGTGGACCGTGGTACCTACGTTGATGCGTCATAGTTAGATAAATTGATGGGTCTGGCCAATTGTTGTTTAAGAAGACAGTGCTCTCAGATCCAGAATCAAACAATGGCGCTCCCGATATTATCCCTAACCTACGACGGCCAAATCAAATCAGCAAACGCATGGCGGCAAATCAGCAGGCTCAATGGTCTTCAGATCAAGAATTAACTTTAGGTTGAGAAATAATTGGTGTTCGGATCCACAATTAACTGATATTTAGGTTCAGAACCAACTGATTTTCAGATCCAGAATTAATTGATATTCAGGTTCAGAGCTAACTGAAATTCAGATTTACGACGGCAGATCTGGCAAATGTAACTGAAGATCTCCAATCCAATGTGGCAACAAAGTCGGAACTGAACCGAAACATCTGGGTCTGAGCTTGTACTAATTACAAAAGCAAAACAAGACCGGGGAGCATCGCGGTGGCCGGAGACGACGGGAAGGGACAAACCCTAAAACTAGATCCCCTCCGTCCTCTCCTCTGACCACCCCTCCCTCCATGACTAGAACATCAAGGACTCCCGGCAACGACCACGGGGAGATCCAGAGAGGAAACACTATGTACCGTCGGCGAGTTGGTTGGTTGGTGGCTGGTCCTCCTAGGTGGAGCGGGCGAGGCGGGAGGCGATGGCGGAGTGGTACATGGCGTCGTGGAAGCTCTCCGTCTCCGACATCCGGGCACGCAGCTGCCGCGCCTTCTCCTCCGTCAGGCCGCCAACGAAGGACCTCCCGGGCTTCTCCTCCTCGGCCACCACCGGCGCCGCGGCCTCGATGTAGTCGGCCTTCCCCGACCAGCCGACCAGCGGCGCCCACCACTTGCCTCCCTGGGGCGCCCCCGCGGGAACCCGCCCGGCTCCCGCCGAGGCGGAGGCGGCGCGTGGCCGGACCGTCGAGGGGCGGGCGGAGAAGGAGACGGCGGACGCGGTCGGTGCCATGGCCATCGGTTAGCTCGGTGTTGGTACGCTTCGGTCGAAAGCTTCTTCGGCTGGGTGGGTAACCTGCTTCGCTTCGGCGAGAGACGACGATTGACGAGACTTGTGAAATGTGACGAGACGGTGGGTGTATGAAAAGCTGTGGCTATGGTGCTCGGGGTGGTGGGGAATTTATAGCGGGGAGGAGCGGAGCGGAGCGGGGGAGGAGTGGATAAGGACGCCGCGTGGACACGTGGAGTGGATCCGGTGGGAAGGTGCGGGTTTCCGTTACGTGATACTACTCACCGAGTGACCGTTGCGTGGGGTGCTTTTACTGCCGGACGGTGACGGTGGCCGTGAAACCGTTGATGGTATCGGGCTATCGGCACACCGGAAAGGCGCGCTGGATGGGGGCAGCGGGCAATCGGGGCCCCGTGGGCTGAGGGCGACGGTGATGTTTCGGATCTTGGATGAGCATCTAGAAGCGGATCTGGGATCTTTGTTGCAGCAATGTAGGAGCATCCTGGTTTACCTACAGTAACAAACACAATCCGTGTTAAAGCACACGAGAGATGCACCCGGTAGGCGTCCGTTCACGCCTCACACGGGCACAAAAGTTGCAGCCCACCAGCTACGTTTTCTCTCCCAATTTTCTAACGATGGACGGACGGTGACTGCGTCGTCGAAGCATTTGTGACATGGACTATTTCACTCCAAGCCTAGATTTAAATTACACCACAACACAACACACGTCAGTTCCTTCACCAAATAAGATATTTTCTATAGTAGTACTATATTACAGTATATGATTTCTGTATTTGCATTAGAAGGCAAAAGGTGGCCTTTGACCCCTACTTTGTTGGGTCTTATTACTCCATCCTTATCCCTGCCCTCGGAGATTCCGAAGGGGCTGCCCAGGGAATTATGTAGATGTTTCTGGTAGATAGAACTTGCCGGCAGAAAGATCATAGTGAATACCACCTTGGCACAACACATGAGTAATATTACCGTCTCCACGTCCTTGTCACCTTTGTGCTGGCTAGCTCGCTAGATGCCCCCTTTGCATTTCCCATAATTGTCACTTTCGACTATAGATGACCCTTCGCAGGCATCGAATAAATTTCCTATTACTGTATGTGCTCGTACTATACCATATAGGTGTCGTATGCCTGTCATGAGAGCAGCATTTAGCACAATTACAGGAGTGGCCAAGCTTTCTAGATGTTCCCAAGAAAATCATGCCGCGCGAGGAAAGAGACGCGAGGTGTGCGTATGGTTATGTGCTCATGTAATACTTTGAGTGATTCGATTTGGGACTTTCAGGGGCGATCTCAAATCGTTCTCAAACATTTACGGATCAATGAGCACACCGAAGAGAGAAGGAAAAAAAATTGGCCTAATAAGACTCTTATATTATCCGTATGCATTCGGGTTATCCGTGAATCCTCATATTAAGAATAAATGTAGAAAGGTTATAGGGGCTGGCGGACGCGTTCGGCCAGTCTGCCACGTAGGACGCGGCCCACCACAGACCACATTTTCTTTTTCTTTATTCATTCTCTTTTTTATTTTTTTCATCTCTATCAATCACATGCAAGTGATCGGATGATACGTCCCAAATGTATGTATAATTTTTTATTGTTAAATATTATTATATTACCATCTTTATATGTTTTTATGTCATTTTATATTTATTTTTTAGACTAACCTATTAATTTACTGCCCAGTGTCAGTTCCTGTTCTTTTGCATGTGTTTATTTTTACAGAAAAATCGATACGTACAAAAGTCCAAACACAACAAAACTTTTTGATGATTTTTTCTCGCACACAGGAGGCCCTAGAAGCTTCAGGAGGAGGTCAGAAGACCCATGAGGGGGCCATAAGCTAGTGGGTAGCGCGGATCCTGGTGGCTTGTGGGCCCGCTGTGCTCCGTTTGCCCTAATTCTTGGCCTATAAATACATATATATAGTCTGAAATTCTCAGAGTGATCCGAAATAATTTTATCACCGCTGCAAGTCTCTGTTCCGACACGATCCCATCTAGAGCCCTATTTTGGCGCTCTGCCGAAGGGGGGAATCATTGGGGAGGTTATCTTCATCAACCTTATTGCCTCCATGATGATGTGTAAGTAGTTCTTTCAGTACCTATGGGTCCATATTAGTAGTTCTCTCTCTCTCTCTCTCTCTCTCTCTCTCTCTCTCTCTCTCTCTCTCTCTCTTGAATGTAATGATCTCTTCGTAGATCCATCCGATGTAAATCTTGTGGTGTGTTTTTTAGGATCCGGTGAATTGTGGATTTTTGATCAGATTGTTCATTGAATTTATATGAATCTTTTGAAGTTTCTTTGTTGCGTAGCTTTGTATTCTCACCGATCTATTCGTCTACTTTGGTCAAGTTTGGTTGATTTATCTTTAGTGGGAGAGGTGCTTTGTAGTGGGTTCAATCATGAGGTGATCTTGTCCAATGACAAAAAGGACAAAGAGATGTATTGTGTTGTTACCACTAAGGATAAAATGACGGGGTTTGGTCATATTGATTGACCACTTCATTTCTGCATTATGTCATCTTACTTATTGCGTTACTCTATTTATTACGAACTTAATATTTTGAGATGCATGCTGGATAGCGGTCTTGGGATGGAGTAATAGTTGTAGACGTCAATAAGTTTCTACTTATAAGAGAGTAATGCCTATGTTAGATTATGCCATGAATGATCATAATTATAATTTGCGCTATTCCGTAAATTACCCAACAATAATTTGTCTACCTTGCCACTACATGCTTTCGAGAGAGATGCCACTAGTGAACCTATGTCCATCGGGTCTATTTTCCATCAATAAAAAACTCCTACAATGGCTCAATTTTCTCTTTTAATTTCTTGCCGCTTTTCCCAATCACTAGTTGCTTTTAATCTTGTAATTAGCAAGAACAAGGGGATTCACAACCCCCTATCCTTTGTTAAGTGCAAGCAATTTACATGTTTGTGTACATGTACTACTATCGTTGTTAGCTTGGTGCCTCCTTCTGGTTCGATAAACCTTGGTTCTTAACTGAGGAAAATACTTGTTGTTGTGCTACATCACCTTCCTCGCCGGGGAAAACTAACCACTCTATCGTGAATAGCACCGGACATATAAGGTAAATGAGAAGTATGGTTGCGTGGATGGACAATTAGGGAGCGTGTCCGTGGGTGTTTAGGGGGGGCAGATTTGCTAAGTCCAATTGTAGATGCTCTTATCAGTGTTGGATCACATGAGTCGAGCTAATAGACTACGTTTTGATAGTGGAAAATTTAGGTTGTGGATGTTGAAAATATATGTAGTGTTTTAATTTCACATTTTATTAGGGGTAAATATCAGAGATTTAATGACAGGTCATTCGTAAGGAATTTTCATAAAGACTGATGTCTAGGGATTTTTTAAACTTATTCATGGGTAACTGGGTAGTGCATTACTATGTAATTTTTCTGGTTTTGTTTCTTAAGGAAGATTTGCCCATACGTGTACCCATTATTTATCTCCATCTCCATGTTTATAAAAGAGTTTATATTCTATGCTATAACTGCTACGATTTTGGAATATGTGATTCGGAGGAAAATTTATAAGCACGTGTGGAATGATAAACGATAAAACCTAATTGCTAGTTTTGCCTCTAGGACTAGCTCAAGTGTTGTATGTTGATCATGTTTTTTAGATGTTGGATATTTTGTTAAATGTAACGATAATCCTAAAGCAACATTGAGAGTATGATGTTAGAAGAATGATCATAATGAATTGACCCAACTTGTTCGTTATATTTCCAGATGTAATCTTCACAAGTCTATTGATATAACACGAAGAGTTAACGTATGCTTTAGTTCCTTAGACCATGAGAGTATTGTACTCACTTCATACTAGATGACAGACTTTGGAGTTGCTCAAATGTCATCTATAATACAGTGATCATAACGGTAACTTTCAGGCTCATCGGAAAATGTGAAAGGGATAGATAGCTCAAGAGTGGGATTTGCTCCTCCAACGATGGAGTGATATTCTTAGGGCCCTCTCGGTGTCATGGCATCCATCATCGTCTAGCCAGACACAGGTGACTTAGTCACGGGGATGCCAGAACATGTAAAACAAGAAAGAAGAACGAAACTGGTAACGAGGAGACCGGTATAATGAGCATGAGAATTACTCTTGCAGATACCGATATATCTCACCTTGGAGTTTTTAAAGTCAAAGCAAAGGGAATATTATATAATAACCAAAGGTTCACTCGAATATCATTCGTGTATTCATAGGGGACAATATGGATGTCCACGATCTCGCTATTGAATGAACGAAAGGGAGTTTCGTCCATGTCCATGTTTTACCGAACCTACAGGCTCACACGCTTAAGGGAATCATGATCTATTAAGTGTTAGTAGAGTAAGTTTTATGGGAACATATTCATGAAATAGTTTCAGGAATATTAGAAATGGTTTCGAGAGAAACCGGAGGCGCTTTGGGGTTACCGAAGAGTTTCGGGGTTTATCGGGAATTGATATATAGGTGAAAATTTTTCTGGACATGTTTATTTTTTGAGAATTGCCAACACTTTATTGATCATGTGGATGTTCATGGGAATACAAGAGGATTCGTGCAAAGAAATTAGCAACAAGTGGCGCCCCTGATCAAGCAAAGAAGAGTGTTTGGATGTTAAATAAATGATAAAAGGTTCTAATATTGATTAGAAGGCTTTTAGAATATATTTAATATGAACGAGCTAACGAAATACTGAGATGCCTAATGGTGGAGAGTTATTGGGCCTAGGGCCCAATAACAAAGGTGGCGGCCCCTTAGCCTTTTCGGAGGCCTAGGGGAGGCTAAATTGGAGGTGGACTCCTCCCCTTGTGGCACCTCCCTCTCCCCTCAACATATATATACTAGAGGATTTTGCCCCTCGAGCACACAAGTTTTGGAACCTCCTCTAGTTCTTCCATGGCAACTTGAAGTTGGTAACAATCCGATCCAAAGCTCTTATGCATCTTCATAGTATTCCTAGAATC